CCAATGATCAATACAGTACATATACATTTAACCTATATCAATTGAGATCTTTGACAATCATTACTTTCCCAGGCCCAAAAAGCCATACAACCAGGAGAAATAGGTGGCTGCCATTGAGGCCATTAGTTCAATAGGCTATCTTATTAATTTATATTTCTGGCAAGTAACACCAATATACTGGGTATCAAGATATAACTGGGAACTGGATTATCGGAGTCGGTGAGAATAGATGAACTGATGATAAGCTTGGCGAACTTTGGCTTAAAAAGGTCTTTGAAAAGCATACGAAGATGCGTACAATTGGCACCTACCCGTTCCTGATGTCTCTGGGCCGCTCAAACGCGCGCACGGGAAGCTGATTGTAAATATGGTGATGGGTGGGAACAATCACACTGACAAGACTGATTTCTTATCTCTTTATCCAACTGCACGCGAGAAGGTTTCATTAGAGAATATTCATGGTGGCTTAATCCGCTAGATAAATAACGGGATCTTCCAAAGATCACATTTCAACTTCATATACCAATTCCAACTCCACCGTCATCTTTAGGAGAGAGGGCTCAAGGCTGTGAATATGAGTCTCCTTCAAGAAATCAAGTCTACGCATACAGGATGAGCGGAAAATAAGAGAGCTAGGAATGCCATTTTAGGCACACATATTATCTTACCCGTACAAAAGCGACAGGATCATCTTCAACAGCGTGATACACGGTTTGAGAAACAGACTAAAGAGCGTATATCTAGGCCCCGGCAACGCTGCAGTGGCTGGGACACTATTCAACATACAATACGGAATTTTCCTAATGAATAGCTGTTGTTCTAATACTAGATAGACTAATTTAATGCTGTTGGTAGTTGAAGAGTTCCAAGAATGTGGTGGCTGTGGTTAAACTGCGGTTTGGCCGTGAATTACGTTAGGTGAACTTAAGAGTACCTGGGGAGCGGCAATCTTAATAGTCTCCTATTCCCGTTTTAGTTTATTTTTTCCACTTTTCTTTTTCAGCTGTCTCCATTCTAGTGTCTCTCCGGCTATTTATATACTTATATCATTCCATGCCCTTCTGATATACTGATATTAAAGTATTCTTTTCAAAACCTATTTCATGATTATTCTTTATGGTTAAGAACTGTGGACACAGCATATCCAATCATACTTACCTAGAAAACATCCAGAAATGTATAAGCAATTACTTCAGTATTGACTAAATCTATAAAAGGAATCATCAGTCCCTTTATTTCCTATACTAATTGATACTTTAGCTCTCTAGTTTAGCATGATCAAGAAAATTTGCTGCTGCCATTGAATGATAAATCATTTCATCTGTTGTCCAATTACTGACACTGTTGGTAATCCTCTAATCGGCCTTTTCCTGACCTCCAAGAAATCGGTCAACTATAATCCCGCCTTGAAAAGATTCTAATTCCTTTCTACTAGCTTTGTTAGAATTAGTCGACTGTAAAGGTGTAGGTGGTTGAAAAGATGACGACAATATCTGGTCGCGCGTCGCGCGACGCGGAATTACGTAGACTTTTGTCATGTAACTATATATTTTATTCTTTATTTACCTTTTTTTAAAGGTTTCCTATCTCTAGAGCTAGGAACCTGAATTAATTATAAGTTCTCTAAATTTATATTTAAAGTTTAGAATCTGTAATTTTCAAGTTATTGTATAAGTTAGAGAGTTATTAACGTAATCCACAGCCGAGCTGACCATTTTCTCCGCAACTTCCAACAATCATTCTTCAACGCGTCATATTTTCACCATCACCATATAAAATGTCTCTTTCTCAGGAAGCCCAAATGCAAATGGCCATTGAAGCTTATAGAAAGAAAAAAATCCGATCAAAATCACGCGCTGCTGCAGTATTTGGTGTGCCTAAAGCTACCTTGCTCAACCGGCTTAGAGGAATTCAACCACGGTCAGAAACACGCGCTAATGGCCATAAATTAACAATTTTTGAAGAAGAAGTCCTAGCTAAGCGTCTGCTAGATGCAGATAAACGAGGGTTTTCAATTAGACCTGAGTTTCTGCGTGGAATGGCACAAATATTACTTTCTGAGCGTACACGGGATCCTTCTTCAACTATTGGAGTCAACTGGGCATACAACTTTGTTCAACGCCATCCAGAGCTTCGTACAAGATACAATCGGAGAATTACACACCAGCGTGCAAAACAAGACCTCGTACAACTATCCAGGGGAATCGCGAATGGGTCACAATCATTGAATGTGTGAGCGCAAAAGGGATTCATATACCTCCAGCAGTTATCTTAAAAGGGAAAGAACACCAGGCTGCATGGTATCAAGAGTCTAATCTTCATCCAGATTGGAAGCTTACCAACTGGCGCAAAGCGATTACTTATTCTTGATGGCCATTCAAGTCATCAAACCATTGAATTTGACAGTTTCTGCAAAAAGAATGCAATTATCTGCCTTTGCATGCCTCCACATTCATCTCATCTCCTTCAACCTCTGGATGTTGGTGTTTTTGGACCGCTTAAACGTGCATATGGCAAATTAGTTGAGGGCATGATGGCGGCTGGAAACAACCATATTGATAAAGAGGATTTTCTCCATATATACCCTTCTGCACGCAAAGCAGTTTTTACTGAAAAGAATATATGCAATGGGTTTGCAGGATCTGGTCTTAAACCACTCAATAAAGACCGGGTTCTTGAGAAAATCACCTTTCAACTTCATACGCCAATACCACCACCTCTTGCTGAAGGATCAGTATCATCTGCATTTCAGACACCTCAGAATCCCCGCCAGCTTGATCACAAGATCCACAATCTGCAGAAAAGCCTTCAAAGGAAAAGGACACTTTCTAGTAGTCCAGTCTCCCATATTCAACACCTTGAAAAGGCTGCACAGATGGCAATGAATACAAACCTTCTTCTCCAACAAGAAATCAAGGTTTTACGGACTGAAAATGAGCGGAAAACAAAGAAGAAGGCAAGGAAACGTGCTTCTATAGGAGATAATCTCTTTATATCTGTACAGGAAGGTCGTGAGCGCATTCAGCAGCTTGATATACAGGATGAAGCCCAGGTTGAAGAGCCTATATCTCGGCCTCGCAAGCGAGCTCCACAACGCTGTAGTGGCTGTGGGACTATAGGACATACGATAAGAGGTTGTCCTAGTAAATAACTATTCATTTTATTTTTTATATAGTCTAGTTTAATGGCGTTGGTGGTTGAAAAGCTTTAATATCCTTGTGGTTGCGGAGAAAATGGTCAGCTCGGTTGTATGGTCAGCTCGGCTGTGGATTACGTTAACGTATTCCACAACCGAGCTGCGCGGTTTCTCTGTGACCACTAAATATTCGAAGCATTTCAAGAATTTTCGCATTTATTTCATACAGAATGCCTAAGGAATCCCGTAAACAAATGGCCATTTCTGTATATAAAGATAACGAAGATAACGAATCAAAAAAGGCTGCTGCAATATTTGGGGTGCTTAACGACCTTTCGTGAGCGGCACGCAAGTCACGCACTGAAGCCCGCGCAAGGGGCCGCCAGTCCAGCAGCTTGGATATACTATAAGAAGTTGCCTTAATAGTGTTATATTCAACTGCTAAATAGTCTTAATGTAATAATAATATCAATCTTTAGAGATATTGGTGGTTGAAATGCTTCGAATATTTAGTGGTCACGGAGAAACCGCGCAGCTCGGTTGTGGAATACATTATATTAGTCCGAACTTATTTTTAATATATCAATTAGCCTTCTGTTTCCCTTTGTATTAATTATTCCTGGCAGACATACTATATGGCATTGTAGACGATGAGCTCTATATGATATCAAAGTTACTTGCACTTCAAAGAATAGCTAACTACTTACTAAAGGTTTTCATTTCCCTAGGTATCATTAAATAGTACGTTAGTATAATCTTTTTAATATTAAGAAATAGTGCAGTTTTATACTAACTGAGTATTCCTATATGGGTATTTACAGCTTGTAGATGGGTAGAGAGTTAAACTCTTAGAATTAGCAAAGTTGTTAATAAAAGAATCCAAGAGAATCCATTTTAATGGATTGTTGGGTACATAACTGGCATTGGGTTGAAATATGTTATAATATCATTTTATAATTGTTATATTTTTTTATAACTGTTAAAGGTATTAATAATATCAATAAATCCTTTATATCAAAAAAAAAAAAAAAATACAGGTTTCCTAAATTTTACATTCTTTAAATTAAAGCCTCTTAATAACAAGTAGCCCTAGTCTCTATATATTTCTAAATATCTAAATAGATAAAAACTCAAAGTATCACCTATTTAATATAATACATGAGGTCATCAGGTAACTATCATTCAATAACGTAATCTATCACAAAGAGGCGCGGTCGGCGGCGTCTCGCCTGAATACTATATACCCATATTCTCCAATCCTATTACTCATCAAATTATCCATAATGAATAAACTTTTCAAAAGAACGGATGGAATTGGCTTACTGATGCTTTTAATAAGGGTCAATTTCGATCTAAAACTGCCTGTGCTGAAGCGTTTGATGTGCCATCAAGAACGTGATAAAACGCTTGAATGGAGTCCCGCCCCCACAAAGAATCCACTGCAAATGGCCGGAAATTATCAGAACTTGAAAAAGAGACTATCTAAGTTGGATTCTAGATATGCATGGGCGTGGTCTACCTCTTCAAATATCAAGTGTCCGCACAATATGGATGAAACTGGCTTTTTCAAATGGGAGTAGAATCAACAGCAAAGTTTATCTGTGGCTCACAGACTAGAGATAGCCATGCCAAATCTATCGAGCCTGGAAATCGCGAGTGGATTACTATGATAATTACCATCAATGCCTTTGGATCTGCTCTACCTCCGCAGATTATCCTGGTCGGGAAAAAGCATCAATCTCAGTCGTATTCAGCTATTCCCAAAGAATACAGAATCAGCATGAGTGATAATGGCTGGACAAATGATAACCTGGGATATCACTGGCTTCAGAACATCTTTGAGAAGCATACTGCCTCTCAGACCGCTGGCAGATATCGCCTTTTGATCCTTGACGGCCATAGCAACCATGCAACTGCAAGTTTGATCATTTCTGCACTGCAAGATTATTCCTCTATACATGCCTCCTCATTCATCTCATCTACTTCAGCCACTGGATATAAGTTGTTTTGCGCCGCTCAAGCATGATTATGGCCAGAAAATCAGGGAGATGGCACAAAAAGACATTCATGCCATTGATAAGATGGGCTTCCTATCTATCTATACCAGCATCCATGGCCGCGCATTCTCAAAACACAATGGTGCTGAGGGAACGCAAAGATTGAGAAAAAGATACAGGTGATTATTACTTCCAGAGAATGGGTTAATCCTACTAATCACTGCATGCTAGATCATCTCATAATTACTGAGAAATTGAATACTTATATAACAAACACAATTTCTCACGTTTTTATTTAGTGCTAAGCGGGCAAAAAAAAATACACTTGCTAACACCCTAAGGACATGCAAGGAGTGAATTAATTAACAAGGCTTATTAGTCAGCTTCTGCATCAGAATTTGTAAATAATTATAAACATGCTAGACTATAAATGTGTTGGTTGAAGGAATATTGATTAAAATATCCTCTTAATAAATATTTTGCTAACTGCTTCATCTGAGGTTTGATATATTGATTTATAGAAATTATTTTTATAATAATTCATAAATACACTCATTGAAAATCAAAAAATAACACGGTTTATAAAAAAATTAAAGGGAAATAAGGACTGTAATTTGAATAATGCACTACCAATCATTAAACTAAAAGTGAGCAATTGCAGAATAATATTAGTAACTACAAATACTAGAATTGTAACATGTGTGCTAATAATGAGCAGAGAATCTCCAGAATAATATCTTAGAACTACTATGATTTTTAATAATATCAATGCACTTATACAGGAGCACATATGCCACGGTGTCAGCCCGTCATCTATACACGTGACCTGGTATGTGGCCCGTAGAAGGTATCTCTCGGTGCCAACGCCGATATTGTGCAGCTCGGAAAGCTGCATCTTGCATATGTACCTGTAGATAGCCTGTTTGCTTGTATATTTCACCCTGCATCCTGACAATACATTAATGAATTTCCATGCTCTTTTAGATGATACTCTTAGATGATAAGAGATGTAATTATACCCGGCCATTGTCAATTATTCAAGGAAAAGAATCATATTCTTGTTTGATTGGGACACTATTTATGCAAAGCGAATTAATAGAATCTTTCTCATAACATGTCTACTGAGATAAAAGGATCAAATACTATTATAGCTTTAACTTAGAGTATAGCTTATCTCATCATTCTAGGAAGAATAATCATAAAATTCTAACAGTACAATTAAAGCTATCTATTGAGCAGGCATACTAGAAAAAAGGAGGATGCAGTTGCAGCTGTACACAGTGATTTAGCAGGTATGCAGGTAGTGGTGAGGTCACCACTTGCGCTTTGTAGCTAAGCAACCCGTCAAGCTCCCACACTAGATGGGAGTTCTTCCCACCATCCTTTTTTCTCTCTTCCCTTTTCATGCCTGGTTTTCTCTATATGTGGTCACTTATCAAATCAATATAACAAGGCAGCCATGAATATAACTAAAAGATATCTAGACGATAAGTTGGTTTATTGAAGTGTATAGGCTGAGACTTTTCTTGTATTGCACACTCTCAGGTTGGAGTGGGGAATATCGTCACATCTGAAAAACTATCAATGTAGAGAAGCATCAGTATGGGCTGAATTCTCTGACAGGGCTGTCTAGTGGCCTAAAAACCTCGTTCATGCTTTTTGACTGAGACATTAAATCGTAAATCAAGTATCTAGTTCTACAAAGTCAGTCACTGAGAAAGTCTTAAAGAATTCTTTTTGCTACTAGAAAGCTCATAAATCTTGAAAAGAACTTCTTATATAACATTCATTTTCATATGCTCATAACAATCTTCTTTTTTAAATATATATATGGAGTTGACTCGTGTCAGTTTAATGGGTGGGGGTCAGATTTGGTGTTATAGAACCTGCCTCAGCAGGGAGATATTATCGCCTATGGATTATGTGCAAATCATGTCATGTGCATAGATCGCAGGTTAGCACCATGACAATAAGAGATTATCTGCTTTCTTCTTCTTTTTGCGCTCATTTTCAGTGCGTAGAGACCTGATTTCTTGGTGAAGAAGGTTCATTTTCATTGCCATCTATCTGCACTGCCTTTTCAAGATGTTGAATATGAGAGATTGAACTGCTAGAAAGAATTCTTTCCTTTTGAAGACTCCTCTGTAGGCTCTGAACCTTGCAATCAATATGGCGAGGATTTTAAGACCAGCACCTGCGAAGCTATTGCAAATATTCTTTCCAGTGGAGACCTGATCACGCGCAGGAGGATATAGATGCAGAAAGTCCTTATTATCAATGTGGTTATTTCCAGCCACCATCATTCCCTCAACTAGTTTTCCGTACGTGCATTTAAGCGGCCCAAAAACACTAACATCAAGTGGCTGAAGAAGATGAGATGTATGTGGAGGCATACAAAGACAGATAATTGCATTCTCTTTGCAAAAATCATCAAACTCAGCAATTTGGTGACTTGAATGGCCATCAAGAATAAGCAACCGCTTTGCACCTAGAGTTGCATTCGGGCCGGGTAGGGTAGGGAAATGGGCACCTTAGTCCCAACCCGCATGCGGGTTGGGAAGAGAATCTTTCTCCCATTCCCATTCCCATTTCCCACCGGGAAGGGTCGGGAATTTCCCAAATTTCCCAAATTTCCCAAAGATTGACAGCGCTAACCATTTATGGACGCACTGAACTAACTACAGTTAGAACCGGGATGGGAATGGGAATTCCCGTTCCCATTATTCCCAATCCAACTGCCTTATTGTAGCCTTGTATTTTCGATGCAAATTTACCACGCATTATATCTATAACTAACGATCTTTTTTGGTCTGAAAATATATATATACATATATTTGGACCGCATTAGCACACAATTTATAGACATGACCGAAAAGATCCACCAAAGGGCATGATATAACCATGGTTAGATTAAGTATTGTAATAGTATGTAATGGGAAATTCGGGAATATGAACCACTCCCATTTCCCACATTTCCCAACCCGACCCTTCCCTAGGGGAGTAAACGGGAATTGCGGGTTGGGAATGACACTCTATTTGCACCAGTTGAAAGTGGTTTAGAAAAAGGATCAAACATTTGCTTCAGCCACTTAAGACCTATCCCATCTGTTGTCCAGCCATTGGCGCTATTTGTAAGCTTCCAGGCTGGATGAAGGTTAGGCTCTTGATACCAAGGAGCTTGATGTTCTTTCCCTTTCAAGTTGACCACTGGTGGTATGGAAATCCCTTTTGAGTTGATGCATTCAATGATAGTAACCCATTCACGGTTGCTCTGGATAACTGTGCGAGGTCTCTCACTGCGTTCTACTGCAGTAATTACTTTAGATGTTGTACAGAGTCCCATTGCAAAGCCGGTTTCATCAACATTCCAGATGTCATCTTCATGGATCCCATGTTCTTTAATAGCTGCATGTACAGCCTCAAACCACTTATTTAAGACTTGGATCTTCCTGCTTTGCACGCTGGTATGTAATCCTCCGGTTATATCTTGTTCGTAGTTCAGGACGGCGCTTTATGAAGGAGGCCCAATTGACTCCGATAGTTGCAGTAGAATTTTTCATACGTTTTTGAAGTAAAATCTCAGCAGTTGCTTGACAAGAGCTTCCTCTTCAAAATCCGTTAATTTATGGCCACTGGCGCTTGTTTCTGATCGTGATTTCATTCCTTTAAGCCGATTACGAAGGATAGCCTCAGACACTCCTAAAACAGATGCACTCTCGTTTTGATTGGATTTTTTTAATTCTTAATCGCTGAGATGGGCCATTTGCATTCTATTTTCTTTAGAAAGAGGCATCTTTATAGGATGAAGATAGAAAAAAGCCGCACTGAAGAATATGGTCATGAAGATATTTGGAGTTTTTAGATCGAACTATTGAATAATCTAATGTTATATAAATGATGATAGTGTAGTTCTTCATAATGATGACATTTAGCTCTAAAATCTATCTATATATAAAGGCCTCGGTTCTTTTTTATATATTTTTAAGCCCTAGAATTGTGAGACCCTGTATAAAAAGCATGCAAGTCCTCATAAGAATTATTCAGATCTATTATTTATTCCTCATCCCCTCTCTCAAAAATAAGTGCCCTGAGTGAGAATGATGATAATATTTAGAGAATTATTGAATTAAAAAATTTTTATAGGCCATTTTTAGAAAAACAAGACAGTCTTATTTGAGAGTCTATTCTGGGCATATTATTTAAGAGTTTAACTTCTTGAAACATGACATCAGATGTAGATCGTTACTTGCAAGTTGGCTACAAAAAGCTTTAGTTTTTAATATATACTAATGTACTACAATTTTTTTAAGGTATTCTAATTAATTGTTTTATTTTTTTTTTACTAGTGTGGCTTCCCTGGATTCTGAAAGAATATATTCTATAATATCTTTATATATTCTGTTTGAAGTAATTAGTATATGTTTTATTGGATGATTACTTGTCAGGGCCATTTTCTAGAATTGTGGGTTTAATAAGGGTCACTTAAAGACTCTTATGGAGCTCGTATTAGAAGTGAACAGATATAGAAGCTTAATTTATAGGAAGGTATTTTTACTTTGAAAGATTTTGTAGTTATAGATGTTTGAATATTGAAAATTATAGCGATAAATTATGACATCGATACCATAAGATTGTATATATATTAAAAAATTTAGGCTATGTAGATATCTTGCAGTTGAGATATTGAGGTTACAAAAAGTGTTATTTTATATGGAATACAGAGAGTGTGTGTGCGACTCGGCCGTAGACTACGTTAGTGTTTTCTTTATTATATTAAAAAATAAAAAGAAGCCGTTTTCTAGATACATGAATTTAAAACAGTTGGACATGGATTAAGTATTTTTTATGTGCTTTAGTTTGATGACATGAAATGCAGATAAAGTTACGACTTCGCCCGTCAACCACTTATGTTGTTGGAATAACTAAAATATCCATATGGTCAATCAGATTTTATTAAGTAATCCCACTGTCCAATGTCCTTGTTCATTACACCTAGTGACCTAACTTATATAAAATAAAACCAAAAGGAGATTATGGATAACCCACTTATAATGTAATAATATAGTCCAGTCAAATGACGATATAAATATTTATCCTTATCCTACTGAGCTATAGGCGATAGGATAGAGATTCTTGTAATAATAATACTAGTATTCTGAGTTCTTCTGTGCCAACCTTATCTAATATATATATTAAAGACTAGAAAGCTTTTTTTTTTTTTTATTTTTTTAAAGTGGCTATAAAAAAAGACTTACATAATTATATATAACTTGTACTGGATTCATATTAAAAGCGCCGAAGCAAAAGCAAGGTACTTGACTACTTATAGCAACAGCTAGCTTTCCTGCGCACCCCCCTCCCTCGCGCGCTTTTTTTTTTCTTTTCTTTTTTTCCCTTTGTGAGTCGTAAGAAGTGGGACGGAGAAGGCAACAACAGCCTCTCCAAAATTCAGGATTGTTCGCCATCAATGCCCCGGATTCCCACTTCAACCGTCATAAAGGCATATCGACAAAACCCTCTTTTGCCAATACTTCTACAGGAATGTCGTTCTGTCAGCTCAGCACAAAATGAGTTACGCTGGTTACGCGAGCGAGCAATTCACGCGTGGAAACAATGGCCCTGGAAATACTCAGCTTCAGGCTGGAAAACTTTGTTAAGAACGATGTGCAAAGTGCGTTCGAAGGGGATGCCTCTTCAGTATATACTCGGTGACCAGCCCTTCGGAAACCTGGAAATATTATGTGAAAAGGGTGTCCTGATACCGAGGTTTGTCGCTTTCTTCCCCACCCGTCAGGAGACTAGCCTTTCACTCTAACTACCTTGTAACAAGACCGGAGACAGAGTCTTACACCATACATGCCGCCGAGCTAATCTCAAGATATTTCCTAGCCAGTGGTGGCCAGAATGAATATGTCGAACCATCGGGGTTGATACGACCCCTGCGCATTCTGGATCTCTGCACTGGCACTGGTTGTATATCTTTACTCCTGCATTCTCTTCTCGCCCCTCGTTTCCAGCAACTATTTATACTCGGTATTGATATTAGTGCTGCGGCTATTCAACTGGCCACAAGAAATCTCGACCACAACCTCCAGCTTGGTCTGCTCTCAGATAGATCCTACAGAGAAGTCCATTTCCACCAAGGCGATGTACTTGGTCGTGACAATGGACATAACCCAGAAATCGACGAGATACTGGAAACATACACACCTCGGTGGAGAATGAGCCCAGGACTAAGAGAAGGTTTTGACTGGGATATTCTGGTCTCAAACCCACCATATATTTCACCCAACTCCCTCCGCGATGGCACAACTGCCCGCAGTGTTCGGTTGTTCGAACCTGAGCTTGCCCTGGTACCACCTGCCAACATGAACTATCTTTCAACAATGGATTATAAGCGGGAAGATATATTTTATCATCATCTCATTGCATTATCATTCAAGCTATCCATCAGACTTACAGTCCTTGAATGTGGCAGTCGTCAACAAGGCAATCGTGTGATCGCTATTTGCAAAGCCTTCTCCATTAAATTGTCTGAAGATCACGAGTGGACTGTTGATATCTGGTTTGAGGGGCAAACAGACCACACTGACAATAAAGAAGGACCTTGTGTTATCATCCTGCGGAAGTGACATTGAATGGTTCACTCAACTACATTGACTCGAATTCAATCGACTGCTGTCTTATATTAACTAGCTCACTCAAAGTACAAAGTAAATTGCATAAAATAATATCACGGAGTATCTACAGCATCATTGCACACAAGTCTCCAGTCCCTGGGCATCTATATGTAAAACTAGAATGCTAACAACATACACCCAACACCTACACTTGCAAGCCTGCGAAGTAAATTTCCTTTCGTATCCGGCGAAATAGCAGTGGCAGCACTGGTGGCTGTTGGTATCTCTGTAGAAACACTGTCGGTTGGGCCCCCAATTCGGGCTCCAGAACCATTATCCACGGCAACGGTTGTAACAGGGTTTGCAACTCTCGTAGCATTAGGAACAGAATCATCACCTGTCCCAATCTCGAGTATATCGTCGTCGGCAGGATCAAAGTTTGTGTTGGCGAGGGAAATCTCGTTGTTTGCCAAATCATATACAACGTATGCACTGCGCAGAAATGTGTCGCCTAGAACAGCGGTACTATCTCCAGCAGGAACAATACCGAACACACATGCTCGTGTACCGTCACGGAAATAAAGAGGACCCGAATCGAGGGTCAGTTCGCCCATGCCAACCGTGATACTAGGATCAGAAAATGTGTATGTGATGTTGATATTTTCGTCCGCTAAACTGCACGGTACGTAGCCGACCCCGACTGATGCTTCGTAAACAACGTTCAAGTCACTGTATATGTCTTCAACAAGCGAGTCCGGCAGGTACGTCAGCGAACTTCCGGAGTCGAGTAACACCGCTGCTGGTAGTGAGTTTGACGAATAACTGTGGCTGTCGGACTCAGATTTAAAGGCTACTCCTGTGAGTGCAATGATAAATTCCGAATAGCCACCGTTGACTGTTTGAACCGGAAGAGTCTTCAAATCGCCAATATACTTTGCCCTGTTAACGCCGCCAAATAAGATCGAGCCTGTGTTTGCTTCCAGGTCGTTCAGCCAAAGGCTGTAGGCATTCGAACTGATCAGGCCATTCTCAACCATCGCCCGAGGAAGATTAGGATAAGCGCTCTGGCCAAACCGACCGACCTGTACTTCATTCGATGCATATCCTATGCCCAAAACACCCTCTGCACAACAATCACGCTCGATTAACCATGCTGCTTTTCTTTTTCTTTGGTAGGAGGGAATGGTTGACATATAAACCTACCAGAAGAGCTAGACGAGTATCCAACGCCGAACTGGAAATCCTCTAAAGTGACGCCTCCGACACGGATAGTGTCGGTTACATAGTCACCGGCCGCCCCTGAACCATCCGCATATGATATGTTGAAGTTGGAGGAGACATAGGAGTAGGTGGATGAAGAATCACCATCATAAGAACCTGATGTGCGGCAAGGGCTACCTAGAGAGGAGCAAAGAGTGGAGTTCGCTGCATTGCACCAAAGATCGCTGCTTCCGGTATCAAGAACCAAACGCAAGCTCTGCTCTGGTGTACCAAGGGTGACATTACAAAAATAAAGCGTTTCCTTCTCAAAGTATGAGCGATCTATAAACCCGCAATCAAGCCAGGAGGCGAGAAACCAAGAGAGAAAAAAAAAAAAAAAAAAAAAAAAAAAAAAAAAAAAAAAAAAAAAAAAAATTAACACACCTCATTATCAAGCTTCTGACCAACAGTTTGGTCTCGCCTTCGCCGCATTCGATCCCGATGGACAGGGTCAGGAATATCCTTTCGTTGAATGTCTAGCGGCACAACGGAGGGAGCATCTCTTCGGTGTAGCGTCAACGTATGAGCCTTGGAAAGCGCAAGATAGACAAAGAAAGACCATAGCCATGCGCTCCGCATTTCTTTCTTGTTTACTTTCCCTTAAAAAATCTCGTCGGGAGATAGATAGACTATCCAGAATCCGAAGATGACTTGAGCAATCAGCAAGGTTGAACAGTATTTAACAGAAGCTGTTGTATACAAGATGGAGCACAGGAAGGCAGGTCTTGAGGTGAGCAAAATCAGCTCATTTCCTTGGGCCCGCGGAGACATTATTGCTTTTTGAATAAAATATCCTGGATTCGGCTGGTGCCTGATGTCGTATCGTACGCTGCTTCCGTGGCTCATAATAGTAATAAGCGTTGGCCGGCTCAGTCGGAATCGTAGTACGTAAGTAGTAACTCGGATTCTCGGCGCCCCCACTTGGCCTTGGGTCCAATGACAGCGGATTCATCATCGATGTTGTTTGTCTGGTGGTATTGTGTGGTATTTGGAGGATATACACGTGGGGTTCAAGAGCGAATTTAAAGCAATTTTTGTGTTTTTATTGGTTAATATGGAGATAACGTATTATTACCATACTAACAATACCGTATATATAATAGTAGATTACCGCTGCAAACGGCAATAATGCCTGCTGAGCAGAGCTGAAAAGGGAATTCGACACTGCCATTGAGTAGTACTACTACCCTGTATATACTATCTAGCCCAAGGAATAACACATTCCAGATGATTTGTACTGTCCGCATGAAGAGCATCATCAAATTATCCATGAGATCATATAGGGCTGATGCCTCTTTAATGAGAAGTGTTACCTTGAGTGGAAATTATTGGTCTATCTAGGCCTGAAATAAACCATTTTCTGTTTGCCCACACACTGGAAGGATGAATGAATTCGCTTCAACATATATGTACTCCGTACATATGCAGGAAATCTCTTATGTGTTGTGGATACAAGGATTTCGGATGGTCTACTTAAAATCCACCGTATGAACCATAAAAAGCTCTAAAGCCCTAGTCTCCTGTCACTTTCATCGTTTGAGCATGCGTTCCCTCCCCCCTCCCCAAGAAAGAGACCACGCGAATTTCACAAAATAATCACTATGAAAAGAGAGCCCAAGATGAGGGTGCGCGCTAATGTAAATAACGAGACCCAAATGCGTGTTATTACTCATTACCCTCTTCTGGTCTATCTTCAAGACATTTGCGTAGTCGCGCAAACGATGAGTAGGATCTTTTACACAGTAAAATGGCTAAATGACCAATATTGGGGACTTTCTGACTAGTGAGTCAATCGCAACAACTTCCATTAATTACTTACATCCCCAGCCCTTCGGCTTAGAGTAATGGGAAGCTTGGAAGAATTGGGGGCTTGGTCTGGTCAGAGAGAATTTTGCTAATATCCTAAATCTCAAGATCATCGAGAATATTTTCTTGGAATGGAAGAATTTGAAAATTTACTGGGGTGCGTTACTTGCATACAGCCATATTATGGTAGGACTACAGCGAAGGTGCTGATAGTGTTTTATAAGTGCTGGGCTTCGCTCTGCAATAAGGTATGGCCACCATGGGTCGATCCTACTGTGGCTACTCCGTTTTAGCTGTCAAGAGGACTCAACTGCTGGCTGCTGATTCTAAATTGAAAGTGCTGCTGGCTCATATCCATGCCTTTTTTGATAGTCTCAAAGTGCCAATTGAGCTGGTTGAATTCAGCGATGAATGTTACTGGCACGCCATAATTGCCATGCTTCAGGCGGTGAGGCTTCGACTGAGAAGCTCATATTTGTGCTGGAAAGTTTGTATTAGAAGGCCCCTGAGTACATAATGGATGTTTAGAAGCTCTGGTCTTACATTTCCGGCATGATACAAGGTGGGCTGATGCTGAAACTGTCAAACAGTCTGCCAATAATCCCCCGAGTGGTCTTCTTGAACCTATTCTGCAGGTCTTGAATAAGCAGTGTTTAGATGTCGATATCCAGTTTGAAGGTGAATAGTCCTCGGATTGAAAGTATTGTTGATTGTGTGTCACTAACTGGTCCTAGGTCTTGGCAACGCAAGCTGTTTATTGCTGCAAAAATAACGGTTGCAAAAGCTTTGATATAAGCAGGTAGCTCCATCCGTTCCCCTTTGGATAGGTGTATCATAATTGGGATGGTTCCTGGATTCCATGGTGGCAAAATGAGCTCTAGTAACCCAGGTAAGGAATCTGTCATGGATGCTTCATCGTAATCAGGTTAAATTTGTGCATAGCAGGATATAATTTGTCGCACGTCCGGCCAGACCATGTTCGTCTCGGCTGGCCGTTGTAGCTTTCTACCAGCAATTGATGAAGATAAAACTTCAGATGACCACGCTACCAATGAGCGCGCCAAGCCCCTTAGTCGAACATAACTGAGCGCTGTCGAAGCATTCTCCAATCTCTCGCAGTGCAAAGGCTCCTTGCTTCCCAGAGATGAGCCCCATCAAAATGCATATAGCTCGGTGACTGCTGAGCGGGTGCTCACTGAGAAATAGAACGAACCTTGGGATTGTGCCCTAAAGCGAGATAATCAAGATGGTCACCCGGGCTGGATGGTTGTAGGGCGGTTTAGTAAGAGTGCTATCCTACTTGATATCTTCTATAATGACCATTGGAGACAACCACCATTTTTATGAGAGCACGGACGCACCATCTGCTTCAATATGAATTATGTACCATCAATGGGACCCCCAGAGCTGTTCTGGGGGACACCTGGTTCCCTATGGTACTGACATGACCAAAAGAGACGCTTCATGTCCCAAAGTCTGCAACGTACTCCTAAGAGCAATTAGGTATCTCTTCTTCGGCAACATCATTTTGGAGGATGTATTAGTGATGGCCTGTGGCATGGGCAACGTAGGCTTAGTACAATAATCCAAGTGGAATTCATTCAACGCCTCATCTCTATTAAACTAACGATACTGGGATGACATGGTGACAGTTTAATATCGAGCCATCTTCATTGAGAACGAAATCACCACTGCAGTTTAAAAGCGAGTGTAAATATACTCAACCGCAACAAGGGGACAAATGCCTATATTTTATAGGTTAATTAGAATAATGTATATTGCCCCAAACCATATAGTTTTGGTGCTTTGATGCATCTTGATATGATAGCCCGAGCAATTGATTATTAGTCCTGCGTGCTTACCTTGCACAGCTTGATCATGGGTCGAAGGGCCTTTATCCTTGGTTATTGATCAATTCGGACTTTTTAGGGCACATAATAAGTCACGTTACTTGACAAGGTTTATTAGGGTACACTTCATTGGTATGTCAACGATTAGCGCTAGCATCTGGGAATTGCGATTAGTCTTTTGAATTTATTGCAAAGAGCTATTGTAGCTTTCAAAATCCAAATCTCAATGTTTTAGGTTGTACGCGGTAATATGACTCACATCACTGTTATCATCTATGCAGTACATACTACTATTAGTTTTTACATTTGAACACTTTTGACAAAATGTTCTCATAGCATATCTTCCTATTTTCCTCTTGTCGATTCCCTTTCCACAGATGGTCTCCGGGGTAATTCTGTATGCCTTTGGTGGTCGACTAAAGTGCTAGCCCGAGCCCTAAATTTACTCAAACCGGCCCTATCAACCGATCCACGGGACCACGATACACCGACAATAGCGGAATACTATCAGACATGCCCAAGTATGCCCGGCATACTGTAGAAGACCCCGTTCTTTCCATCTAATGAGTATGCACTCCGGGAGACGACGTTTGACGACACTCACTATACAGCCGATCTAAACGTAGATAAATGGCCGGCATGTTATTGCAGATCATAACATACAGGTTCACAAACCTAGTGCTTCTTTAACTTGCTTCATAGTCCTTTCAGCGTTGGAACGCGCGACCTGGCTGCCTTGGTTCGCAACATCTTCAAGGTAACCTGTTTTGTTTTCTATGAGAGCAATATATCTCTCCCTGATCGGCTGGAGATGGTTAGCAATTCTGCTAGCAACGTGTCCCTTTAGAGCCCCAAGGCTTGAATGCTGGAACTCTGAGACCACTTCTTCGCACGATTTGCCTTCAAAATGAGCGAGAATTTCGATCAAGTTAGAGACGCCTGGACGGTTATCTGGGTCATATTTGAGCTGCGGCTCCGAGTCCGTAAGTGCGCCCTTTATCTTTCTGTGAATATCTTCTGGGGTATCCGAGAGCAAAATCCTTGATCGTTCATCGGGGTGGGATTTCGACATCTTCAGAGTTGGTTCTTTGAAAGACATCACTCGTTTTGCGGGTGCTGACAATGCCCAACTATTACTATATGCCCCATACCCGACCGGACGAGGAAAACTTACATATGAGCGCCTCAGGTAGTGGGAAAATGGACCCGTAGAGGTGATTAAAGCTATTTGCCGTGTTTCTGGAAAATTCAAGATGTTGCCTCTGGTCCTCCCCCACGGGCACATGTGTAGCCCTAATCACTGTAAGCAGAGGGTCTTAGCGCATAGTTTCCCTGGTGCCAAACCTATGGACTAAGATGTCTGCTGCTTGGAGAACGGGATATGAGAATAGGCCCAGCCGAAGTTTCGCCCTTGCTGCTGAGTCTTCCAGATTTGTATTCTCCGGTAATTGAAGCTTGCTCTACACGGGGTCAATACCGAAAACGATGCCATTCATGCTATTACCCATGCGTGCCCACATGATTTGCGTTATTGCTTTTTGCTGTATCTGCTCACCTTCCATTGGGTCATACGTGACAGATACCCCATAGAGGCCACTGTGCTCAGTATCCAGAACAATTCGGTGTGTGCGGAGACCTGGCGGTAGTCAGTACGTAAACTTGATGATAAGCATTGGAAATTTGAAAATACTCACATCGGATTGGTAGAATATCGCCGACCTTGCAGGATCTAAACCTACGGCAAGAAGGGTCGCGAACATCTCCTTCTTGCAATTCCGTAACCAGGGAGCATCTTGAGGCACTGTCAAGGCGTGAAGGTCAACTACAGAGAATAACAATTTTGTTCCCTCTGTGGCACCATTTTGTAATTGAACCCATTCACGCAAAGCTCCCAAATAATTACCCAAGTGTGGTACGCCGGTTGGCTGTATCCCCGAGAATATCGTTTTGTGGGCTGCTGATGTCTTCGTGGAGTGTGAACTGCGCCGATGTTGAATTAGACCTTCAAATTGGACGCGATTTCTCGCTGACACACCCAATTTCGTGAAACTTTGGCCATTATAGACGACCCTAGTTTTTAGATCCATACCAAAACAGAGAAGGAAAAAAAAAAAAAAAAGATATTCGAAAAGGTAGTAAATAAATAGAGATATAGAGAACAAGAGACTTTCAAAAGAAAAGTGCCCGAGGTACGAAAAAAGTAAAGTCACGTGTTATATGAGTCGCCAAAGAATCAAACTTCCCCAAGAAAGGAGAAGAAGAATGCAGAATAGAAGATCCATGAGACTCAATCAACAAACATCTGTGTGCTATGCTTAGGATGAATACAGTATGCTATACAGCCTTACTTAAATTCTTGTCTCATTTGATAGAAATTGACGAATAGATCTGGGGCTGGGACACAGTGGTATGATAGTACAAATGGTAGAGTATACACAAATGCAGAAAAGAATAGGAGGTCAAAAAAAACCCTGACTGGCCGAAGAGCAACACTTGCCTATATAACCTCGCTGGATTCAACAATGACCATCTAGCCCCTGCGAACGTCAGTCAATGGGCCTTTGTTCTTGGTAAACCGCTCGCTTTCCAAGATATCCAATATCGATTGGTCACCACCCCTGTCTTTTCTCTGGCCGAATTGGGAGAGGTGCGGCTCAAGTGATTGCTCAATCTCAGGCATCGCATCATCCATAGTTTTAGCCACGTCTAGATTGTATGTCAGTAAACAAAAAATGAAAAAGAAAACATCATAGGCGTGAAATTGCACTGTACCGAGACTTTCATGCTCCCAAACATTTGCCTTTAGGCCTACTCCATAGAAGGAGTGCTTTCGCAAAAAGGCCAGCCACGTCTGTACAGTCTGCGGATTGCCATCTTTGATTTGAATCAATCGCCGAAGTGTTATCCTTTCAAAATTTTCTTGGCTTTTCTTATGTACGAAATTACTTCGCGGGAATGTCCAGCGCTCAACAATACGCGGCAACGGCACAGGTCCCGAAACGGGAAGTTTCAAATAGTATGCTGCACGTATGGCAAAATCGGCGAAAAATTCGACGTTCCGTACACTGTACGATCTCAATTGGAGATCACAAACTGGGAGACCGTACTGGGCCTTTCTTCGAAGAGGACGCAAGTAGAGCGCTTGCACGCTTCTAGGAAGGCGCGCCCCTTGATTTAAATCATCCAATCGTTTTGCCCTAGTCTATAGTAAGCGCGAATGTCCCTCTGTTATTCCATTTCGACAGCAACGGACCATGGTTTTATATATTCGGACTGCTCGGTTCCTCTTTTAGGGTTGGAGATTTATAGTCAGCCCACAATGTCATATACCCCGGGGAAAAAATAATTTGCTAGAGGATGGTGTCTACAGACTGATTTCCCGACAAACTTGCGGCGTGACGAACTTCCGACTGACTAAGGTCGACATCCGGCTCATTTGATGATGCGAAGCTTCGAGTTGGTACAGAGAACTTTGCCAATGTGATTAGAACCAAATCCAACATAAGTACTGGGGCAAGTGGCATACCTTGAATCGCTTGCCTAGCCCTAGCAGCATCCGCGACTTCGGAAAGGAAAGCATGGCTGCATAGTTGGTGAACAACGATCGTCCCCAGTATTCCACCAGAAATTAGATAAAAATGAACTTCACCGCTTTCCACTTCAGTCGTAATTTCTCCCCGATCTTAACTTCAATCCACAGTGTTATCAGAAGAAACAAGTATAAAATAACATCAGAAGAATAATTAATCGAAAATAAAAGGAATAAAACGAAAAAAAAAAAAAAAAAAAAAAAAAGAAAAAAAAAAAAAAAAAAAAAAAAAAACAGAAAAGAAAAATAGAAAAGAAAAAAAGAAAGAGACTATCAAGACACAGACTTAGCAACTACGAGTCGAAGATATTGCACGCACTGTATTTAGATTAGTGCGGATTGCTGCCCCACACGGGCAACGGAATCCAATATAAAATCTGAAATTTTTTTTCTCCCACCTCAACCTTGAAGCTTTCTTGCCTGCCCCCTCGAGGTTCTTCTATTATTATTATCTCTTCTTCCTCTTCCTCTATCACGTCCATATGGCAGAGGGAGTTTGCACAGGGCGTCATCCTGTCCAACCTCACATTGAGGTTGGTATGACAGATGATGATATTCAGATGCTGCTTCATGAAGCAGAGAGCCGGCTTCGAGCTCCTGGATCGAGACCAACCCAGAATTCAGAGCTCCAGATGTCTAATGGGAATGAAAAAAAAGATACATCTTTGTAAGATCGAATCTATACGGCATTTTGCCTGTGTACGGGGATCACAAGCGAGCTAACCCTGATCCAAGAATTCCGAAGTTATCAGCGAATCATTCCTTGCAACCATACGTACATGAAACAAATGAAGTTGCTACGATCGATCCTTCTTGTATGGTTGATTCCCGACAAAAAGACATGTCCAATTTCGATCCAACCAAGACAAGGACGTTGGACACTTCAGGAAAGAAGGTGAGATTTCCCGAAAATATCTTAATTCGTCCTTCACTTTATCGTACTTTGCTATGAGGATAATTTCCTACGCGTTAGCGCTTGATGCAGCTTCACCAACCCGTTTTGGGTTGCGCTGCGCCAATGAGAGTTATACAATTTCATAGTTACTCTGAGCATTTTTTTTTTTTTACAGAGCTTGTGCTTTTGTTGTCAGCCAATCTCACAGGCGGCCATAGGCTAACTTTATGCTGAACTAGAAGGATAAATCCACAGCGGGGGAAGCTTGGTTCAATCTTCCAAAAACAGAAATGACACCAGAGTTGAAGAGGGATTTGCAGCTCCTTCGGATGCGTTCAGTTCTAGACCCAAAAAGACATTACAAGAAAGAAGGGAAAACGAAACCTCCGGAGTTCTCCCAAGTGGGAACGATAGTCGAAGGACCAACCGAGTTTTTCAGTGGACGTATCGCAAAGAGAGATCGCAAGAGAACCTTCGTGGAAGAGGCTATGGCTACGGAGCGTGAAACAAGACGCTTCAAATCCAAATACAACGACATACAGACCACGAAGCGAAGCGGCAAAAAAGCATTTTACAAAGATCTACGGTCGAAGAGGGGCCGTGAAAACAAGTGAAAAGCAATGTCTCAGTTCGTCAAGGAAATTCTTTGAACCCCGCATGGCGCTAGCTACGGCGATTTTGAGGTCGAACCCCGAGTCGTCTTGTTTTAGCAGCATACCGTCGCTCAGAGGTAATCACCAAGCGCTAATGTTGCTGGAAGATATCCTGGACGGTTTTTTGCACAAGGTCCTTTTACGATGTTATTATCTATACTTTTGAGACAGACATCGTGTGATGACTTACTTGCATATCAAGGGCTGCAGAGCGAGCTGCTTCGAGGACCTCTTCGTGATTGGCTTTCCCCTCCTGCAGTATAGCATCAAGCTCCTCTGCCTCCTTCTTCTCGAGGAGATGGTCATCTCCTCGAGGCACAGGAGACAGTACGGCCTTGTTGGTTACAAGGCTGAGTGCGATGACTCGCAGATCACAATGTCTAGCAGCAACTATTTCTGGTACAGTCGACATGCCAACTAGGTCTGCTCCGAGTTGACGAAGCATACGGCACTCGGCTCTAGTTTCATAACTACCTTGCTAGTCAGTGAAATCCAAGTCGCGCTGGAGTTGATGTGATCTTTTCACACACCTTGGACCTCCAACGAACGCATAGACTCCCTCATGCAGTCTCCGTTTGCTTTGCGATGGTATAACGGTTTTCCACGCTTTATGCACGTAACGGCGAAGTTCGAGGTCATAGGCATCTGACAAAGGGGGGAACCGAGGACCGAACTCCTCCGCATTTGGGCCGCGTAGTGGATGTGTGCCTGCCAAACCGGCAATGAAAATATGCTAATCAATAGTAATGTCGGTATCAGCACGATGTAGATGCCATTCAGAAATATGAAACATACGTCGTTCAACAACACGAGATCTCCTACCGCATACTCAGGATTCAGGCCACCGGCAGCATTGGTCACTAATATTGTATATATTAGTTCAAACGTCGAACAGGTTATAGCGGGGAAGGGAAGCCCACAAACTATGGTATCGATGCCCAATAGCTTCAAAACTCGGACAGGAAACGTTACTTTATCGATAGAATGTCCTTCGTAATAACTTGACAGTATCATTAGTGATTACTGGTCAGTACAAATCCGGGTTTTTATGGCTAGCTCACTGTGCGCGACCAAGCATTAGAACAGCAGGAACCTTCTGACCAAGAAGTCCAAACACAAGCCTCCCCGCATGTCCGGTAACTGTTAATCAGCGATTTAGCGCATTGGGGAGAGCAAAAGAAAGGGAAAGAAAGAGAGAAAACAAGAGACGTATGGGAGTGATGTTTCGCTGGAGCCAGACTTGCCTGTAAGCTGGGGAAAATATGGTATAGAAGAGTAGTCATATTCCACTCGGGGTGTATCCCCAACTGTATGCACAAGGCCTCCTAAGCCAGTTCCACAAACAATTGCAACACGCGGGCTTTGGAGGGAGGAGGGCAGGCGTTCCTTTATGTAAGAAGCTGCCTCCTTGACACGTTCGAAAGAAGATATATTTTGAGGTAGTTCAGTCATTCTTCTGGGTGATGCGGGAGCAATGAATGATAAGACAAAATCCAGAAAGGAAAGCAATAGTAATAATAATGAGATATTACTTCTGCTTATTTAATTTGTGCCGTTACATACGTAGTAGAACTGCCAAGTGATACTCCATACCCTTGGCCAGGACCTGTACATCATTTACATCATTGAGGTTTGCTATCATATTTATAGTAGTAAGTGCTGGAATATATATCAACAGTACCAACCAATGCTTAACAGATTTAGAGCTACACACGAAACACAGAACTAGTAGAATTGTTTTGTGAGTGCAGTAGAAATTATATTACTACGTACTATGTATTATCAGATTCGCGGGGGTTTGCGGATCTTTCCGCAACCGTCAGTCGGAGCTGAGCACCTACATACAGTAATCACTGTCACTCCTTGGCACGCTTCTCCGCTGACTCGACTCGGGCTCAAAACATTCATCTATCAGCATCACGACTGGACAGGATGAACACTAAATCTTCCATTTTCTAATTATTGAGGGTATTATATCATCATCAGTACATATTCTCATCTTACGCGCTAGAAAGTCAAGGTTCTAGCTCAAGATTATTCCATCATCGCGTCGCATTTCACGCGATCCGCCACACCATTGTCGAGAAACTCATCACTTCGCGTTTTCGCGAACTATTGCTTATAGATAACACCGTCTTCGAGTACAACTCCTTGGTTGTTGTCGATCATCATGGAGCCTACTTCCCAAAATGCCGGGCAGCAGCAGGGCAGGCAGCAACCTGTATATGATATCAGAAATGGTGGGCATTATGGTAAGACTTTGCAACCAAATCGCAAACCATAATTTATGCACTTGCAATTTTTGCTGACATAGTATATCAGGTGCCAGTGCAGCTGTAGGTTCTCTCAAGTCCCACGACATTTTACAAACAAAAGACTCGCCCATAATGTATTAAACTTCTACTGACTCTGGGTTTGTGTGTGTCCTAGCTCTCAGCGCAAGGATACGCACCAGTGGCTGAATTGTATACTGGCACCTGGGCAAATGTGAGTGCGTGAATGCATGGTTTTGAATGGAACTGACCTCGATCTAGGTCAACCAAGGTCTACAAGGGACAGCCCGTGATGTTCTTACAACATACTGGCAACACGTAATCAACCATCTCGAATCTGATAATCATGACTATAAAATACACCAACTGCCGTTGGCACGCATAAAGAAGGTCATGAAAGCTGACCCAGAGGTCAAGATGATCTCAGCAGAGGCACCGATTTTATTCGCAAAAGGGTGTGATATCTTTATCACCGAGCTAACCATGCGGGCGTGGATCCATGCCGAGGATAACAAACGTCGCACTTTGCAGCGGTCTGATATTGCAGCCGCTCTTTCCAAGTCTGACATGTTTGATTTCCTTATTGACATAGTGCCACGAGAGGAGGCGGCCTCTCATGCGAAGCGATCCAGTCAGACAGCTGGAGCTCCTGTAGCCTCTTCTGCACCAGGGGCTACAGGTCCACTACCACCGTCTCAACCTGGCGTTCAACATCAACACCATATGGCCCCACCTGATTACGGATCTTTAGGCCAGCATGGCATTCCTCAGGATCAAGAATATAGACCTCAACCCACCATGTACACAGGGGCAGTGCAGTCGGACCCAACAGCAGCATATGGCCAGCCACAATCTCAAATGTTTGAGGGAATGTATGCTGCTTATCCGCATCTACCACCACAACAGGTATGTGATATTAATTGCTCTGTATTTGCATAGAAGAATGATTTGTTTTAGCAGCGTTATATCATAATATGTGGCTAATTAATTTGAATAGTGAGTAAAGTCATCGGCTATCAATGTTTAGGAATCGGTGGTGTCTTATATTCTGCTTTCCCTTGATGACTTTATGTGAATATCAAACAAGTTTATTACATGTTTTCATTCCATGTATTTTGTCTCCAATTTTCTCTTCTTATTATTACTCGGATAGTTTTAGGTTACTTAGTATGTGTTGGTGGACATACATTGGCGTTTTGTCTTTCTCATTTCCCTCATTCCCTCCTGTCTCTTATATTTGCACGTACTTGGGTATGTAATGATCATGTTGTACGCTGTGTGTTTGTTGAAGCCATATCTAAATAACTCTTTTACTCGAGTGTCAAGCATCATTGATAAAATAGTAGATAGCATTATATAATTGCCAGCGAGAGTCCTGACCTCTTTTCATACAGATGGGCGTCAGGACTTCTTTCCGAATCTTGATGAGAGTGTTGAGAATTTATCGGTTTTCATGGGGCTTTGGACTGTGCGTGTGAGCCTGCTTCATTGTTAGCCTTTATGTTGAATCAAGTACTGGATGAAGGTATAGTACTTTTCTAGTAAGACAGGGCCATTCAATGCATCCACACGGCCATATTTTTTGTTCCTCGTGGATATGTCATAGAATTCGTCCGTATTGTCCGCTTGCATCAACTGTACCGTTTGCTGTAGCTCATCAAGATTCTCCCGTAGAATAGGGACCCCAAGGCTGTCAACAAACTCAGTGAGATATTCAACGTCCTTTGCGAGAGCCATGACGCCATTAGGATTGATCTTTTTCACGTCTGATGAGAGGGGTTGTGCCTTAAGGTGTTAGTAAGCCCTAATACATTTAGAAAGTAGAACTTACTAGAATCATATTTGCAGCATGACTCAGAGCATCAAAATAAATCAATTCCTTGATTTCTGTTGGTAGCCCGAGTAATGTCGAGTTCATTATATTAGATAGAAACCGGGTCAGGGTTTGCATGAAGTTGCTGGGCTCCGTAGGAGGTACAGGTGCCATCCACTCGTATTCTGCGGTCTCAATGAGATCATCGATCTTAGAATTGACGACCTCGAATATACGCTTTTCTGCGGCTTTCTTGTTTGTTCTAAACTTTTCCGTCGCTCTCAAAGCGATTGATCCGCCAGCAGAGTTTTGTGACCTCGCAGCAGCAAGCAGCGACTCAAGTTCATGACAGGCCAGTTCAAAATGCTCTAGATTTATGAGAATTTGAACAATCTGACCCAAATACTGGGAAGCGAGACGCTCAACAAGTGTGTCGCATACTTTGTTCGATAGAAGTTCATCCAGGGCCTGATACTGTCAGTTGAAAAATCAAATATCAAGCCAAAGGATACTCACATCTTTCAACGTATCGTCGATGACATTTGGATGAGAGAAATCATCATTCGCGAAAAAATAAAACTGATTCAGGAAATTACGAATATCGATGCAACAGAGCGGATACATTTGAGAGAATGGTAAAACGCATGGAAATCTAGACATGTCGTTAACACCGAGACAGAGGCGGACAAAGAGAGGATGGGAAGGAAAGGACAAAAAAGAAACACAGAAAAGGAAAAAAACCCAGCGGTTGTCTCTGCTGAACTTACACTTGCTCTTCCTGTGGTTTTTCGGGGTTATACCAGCTAACATTGAGGACTTTGGCATATTCCTCCGAGCTCTGTATTGGCATAGGCATGTAATCATCCGTAGATACGATCTATGACAGGTAAGACATGGTGGGAAATACAGAAACAGAAGTGATATACTCACCTCCTGGAAATCGTCGCTGAATCTCTTCTTGAGAAGCTCGGCATATTTTTCAAAAAGGGTCAACAAGAATCCATCGAAGATCCCGACTGGAAACTCCCAAGTCTGAATTTGGTCATGTTAGCAAAAGTCACATACAGTGTGTAGTTAAAATGGCAGCAAGACTTACGTTCATTGTTTGCATGAATAATGCGATGAGGTTTTTTATTTTTAGTAGACTCTCAGCATTGTCAACTTCATAGAGCGCCTTCGATATCAAACTGACAGCGGTTTGGCACATTGAATCCCAGAGCTCACCGACCTGTGTAGATTGTTAATAACATACTCATTTCAGAGACTTCTATTCACGGATATAAAGAGGAGAGGGTGGAGTACATCAACAGGGGATCTCAGATCAGGGACCCTTTTCATAGTAGACCGTTCCACAATCGCAAAACCTACTATCTCCTCAAGGAAATTGTGTAGACCGGCCCCATCTTCGTCGATTAGGGTTATTGATGATGGGATCAAAAGTTCCTTTTGTCGCCGACGTGTGTTTGCGTATTCAAGTCTGAACTTATCCATGTGTCCAAGTGACTGGTGGATGTGCAAGCATTCAAAGAGTGGTGTAAAATCCACTTGAAGTTCATCATTCTGCAGCAAGTCATATTCTTCATCCTCGTCAGATACTAACTCGATAGCTGAGTTCAGTTTGAAATTTCCCAAGTATGGAATTTTCTGCGCTCTCTCTTTTTGCCTAGATTTCCGCAAATCCGTGTGGTATAGCGCTATTTCGCCCAGGTACTGCGACATCTCACGAATCCGATAGAGCCAAGTATTCAAGTCAGACATGACTGCTTCGGCTATCGCTCTCTGCGTCGTCGGCACTGAACGCTGGATCATTTCTGCAATTTTATACTGAGTAACTCCTTTGAGGTGTACATTCTGCAATTCCTCAATGGCACGTAGAGCTGCATAGTGATTCTTCTTGGCAAGCAAGTCATGAACTTGATTCGCGAGGCGTAATACCTCTAGGCAATCTTGTATGGCATGAGAAGTCTCATCAATGTTTTGACGATGACTCCGTGATTCAACCAATGCCTTCTTCTGCTCGGCTAGCCGCTCCGTACTGGTTTGGATCGACTGATTCAGGTCCAGAATCTCGGCCGTCAGGCTCACAGTCCCTTCCCGTATGCGGAGAAGCTGGTTAACGGAAGTGACAAACTCTTGATGATTGGTGTTACATATAGTCTCGATTTCAGCTTCCTTATCATTGGCAAACTTGGCCAGCGATTGTAGAAGTTGGGGCGTGCGATTCCCGACACTATATTCTCGGATCGAAGGAATCAATTGATCAAGGTAGTCCGTATCGGGAGGAGATATGATAATCTATATATGCCACTATTGTCAGCTGGTGCACGAGTGATTTCCAAAGACTTGTAGGCGATGCTTACCTGATTCAAGACGTACGATGGACCATTGCGGGCTGGCACAACCGACGGCATTTCGATGAAGTTCCTTGGCTGTGGCGACTACTCGGGGGATGCGGATTACATGTATTTGTGGGTAGGGATGTGCTATCGTGCTAGTGTCACTAGGATAGGATTCAAAATCCCAAGTAAGTCCGATCGGGTTGTAATATCAATGTCTTTTTCTTGGTGTCGCGGAGTATCGCAGACGCGAGCGATGATGACACTTACCCGCTCGGGAGTATTCCGCATTTAAACCGCGGCGCAAATATTCCAATGAGTACCACCTGACATACTACATACTACTTATTGTTAAATTATTTAGCACATAGTATTAACTATTTACTATTTCAAATGTTGTTATTCCATATACCTGGACAAGAAGAGGAATGGCCTGGTGCATATACTACAAATGGCATCGCGTAATTCCTGCCTGCGTCGAAGGTTTTCGCGCGCTATCGATAAGAGATACATGTATACCAGATGGACATGCATCCTGAAGCGGATGTGCATGATTCTATTGATCTATTCCAGTGGGGTGAAGAGTTTGTTATTTTTCTGACCGCCGAAGACCATTGTCTTTTGAAGTAATGGCCTTTGGGGTGGTGGAAACCGTGCATCGAGTCCTGATACTACATAATCAGAGCTTCTGTGAGCTTCCGAGAAGGGGATCAGCACACCCAGCCTGGGGAGCAGACCCCAGGGAACCGACAATGGGCAGAAAGCAGCAACCGAGGACCATGGTCTCTGGGACAGCATCTAGCTCGACAACTAGCCAATACCCTACCAGCAGACCCATCCGAGGGTTTTGAAAGCACGACACAAACAGCCAATAGCCAGTTCCCAGGGAGAATAGAGGTGCTACCAGGTCCAGAGGCCCTAGCAGCGGCACAAACTTT